GAAACTCTTGCAAGAGCAATAAGAGAAGTTAATTAAAAGAGTAATAATTGGAAAAGAAGAGATCTAATTATCCCTTTTTGCAGATGATATTATATATATGAATAAACCTGACCAAAGACATTAAAGACCTCTATAATGAAAATTTTAAATCAGTAAAGAAAGAGATTGAGGAAGACATCAGAAGATGGAAGGACCTCCCATACTCATGGACTAGAAGAATTAATATTGTGAAAATGGCCATCCTACCAAAAGCCATTTATAGATTCAATGCAATTACAATCAAAATCACCATGACATTTTTCACAGAACTGGAAAAAATCCCAAGATTCATATGGAAGCACAAAAGACCTTGGATAGTCAAAGCAACTGTAACAGGCATGATATAGTATACGGGCTCCAGTGCGGGTGGGGAGGCTATGGGAAGGTGTGATTTGGGAAGTGGGTATATAAATGAATAAGATTGTTTGGGATGTTCTGTATGTTATACACACACACACACACACACACACACACACACACACACGTCAAGAAATAAAAAAATGACCTATGTTTGAGGAGTAAGCCAAAAAACTTACTTCATGTTAATCAGTAGAGGTGATAAAAATTACCATTGAAATATACCTGATGACTTTATATCCTTACTCAGGTGCCAAGGATCTGAGTGTAACTGACTGTGACTAGTAATAATCAGATACATAGAACTACAGACACATGTGCAAACATCTAAGTGTTAGTAGCACTAAAAAAGTTTTTCTGTAGGAAACAGCTTATTTTAAAATCAAATGGATGTCTTTTTTAAAGGTTAAAAATTCATTCAATTCTATGTCTTACAGGGTTTATACTGAGTTCAATATTGTATAACTGTATTAAGTCAACTGTGAACCTAAAATTTACAGACACTTTTGAAAGAGATGTATCCTTCCTCTGGAAATTGTTAATGAATATGTTAAAGCTGTAATGAAATGCTTCTTCTAATCATGTGGTTTTTAAATTTAAAAAATTATTTAAAAAGAAAATATGGTATATTTGTAGGTTGTATTAATTCATAAAAATAATGGAGCTTTCATTTGCAAGAACCTGAATGAAACTGGAACTCATTATGTTAAGTGAATTAAGGCAGGTATAAAGGGTCCCTTCACACTGAGTCATTTCTGAGATGAGAAGATGCGAGTGAACAGAGGGTCACCACAGGCCAAGAGAAGTCAGGAGTAGATGAGGGAAGGTGAATCAATGGATACTGTGAAGGTAGATAAGAACAGAAATTTCTGTTATGCTGTTGCACAATAGAGTGACTACAGATATCAATAACTGACTGTACATTCAAAACCTTAGAAGAAAGTATGTCATAGATAGCAATAATCTACTGTACATTTTAAATGCTAGATGAAAGTATCTTGAAAGTTTTCATGATGAAGAAATAATTATATTTGAGGGGATATGCATATTTAAAATGATTTATAAATTGTTTGTGTACATGTATTGAAACAGTTACTAGTGCTTTATTTTAAAGGTAATTTTTATGTTTTTATTAACAGATAAAATTAAACTTTGAAATCGAGCTTATTTCTGGGAACATCACTCAGGTGCTAATGTGATGATCTTCTAAGTATGAGAGCCTGAGTTTGATCCCAGAATCCTAGAGAAAAATAAGTCAGATGTGATTGTACCCACTTGCTTGTAACCTCAGAGTACATGAAACTGGGTAGAAGGTATTAAGGGAAAAGTGCAGATAGAGGAGGGGATTTACAAATCTTCAAAATATATTGCATGAATTTAGCAAAAATTCAGTGAAAATGAACAAAGAGGGCATGAAGTTGGGAAGGAAAAGGGGGGATGTGGAAAGTTTTAGAGGGGAGGAAGTGGGAGGTGGGTTGAATAAAACACTATATACAGGTATGAAATTCTCAAACAGTAATAAATAAATAAAAATGGAAAAAATATAGGAATATAAAAAATAAAAATAAAGCTGGCAGTTTATGCAAAATAATTTTATACTTATTTTGAACAAGTTTAGATATGGCTTATGTGAAAGTACTAGATCAAATTTACCAAACCCAACAGCATACAGCAACTTTACTGATGTTTATAATTTATAATACAGACAATGTTGTAAGGTTGCTTAGAATTCCCACTAAATCTCAAGTGCTGCTTTCAAATAGATGAAAATTATCTTGAAAAAATAGAAGCACTACTGATAAAATATGGATAGATAATATTCCATGCTGGTGAAAAGCATCAGGCCACTGTAAATTGATTTTTTTAATGAATTTAGAAGCTTCCAACAAGAAGGCAGAGTAAAGAGAACCTTACAAAGCTATACAAAGATTTTCATCTGCTGAAAACTAAACTAAGATTTATTTTCTCATATTAATAAATTAAAACTATGTTGTCTTGATAAATGGACAAGTTGTGCCCATCACATGCCTTATAAATACTTGATATTGAGTACTGTTGCTGTCAATTTTGGTCCAAAAAGTTTCTTTTTGCAGTGAGCTCTATTACTATAGATTTATAGCTTGTCAAAATGCTGGGAATAAGTGATTTTTGAATATTCAACCCTAAATAGAACATCCATGTCACTACCCCAAAGCCTCAGAGAATATTATCAAGGAGGTGGATACAACAGCTGGAGGAAGGGGTGGGGTACTGTGGAGCACTGTCTTCTCAGCATGATGGGATGATATGTGCATCTTGCTCATGAACTCACAGCAGCTTTCGTTATCTGCACACGATCTGTAAAGACTATACTAAAGAACATTCCTTCGTGGAGTAGGAGGTCTAACAAACCTGTACCCCTCTCTGAGGACTTATGGACACTTAATAGTGGTGAAGGAGGGGAAAAA